GCATATCGCAGGTTGTTGACCCTACACAGGGTTACTATGTGTTGGGAACATTTATGAGTCAGAACTGACTCCACAGCAGGTAACCACCACCACCATTCTGTCTTACTGAATCTGAATAGATTTGACAACATACAACAACAACAAACCTGCCCCCCATTCATACCAGAGATCGTGGCAAAAAAAGTGGGAGAAAGGGGCATGGAAGGAGAACCAAGGTTTGTCCATCTTTTCAAACCCAAGAGGCACAACATTTGTCATGGGCAATTCAAGTTCCGGGTTTCTCTGGAAAATGCTCTTCCATTTGCAGCTTAAGATCCTCACTACTCAAAGGCATGGAGTTCGGGTGTGGCGCTGTAAGATAAGCACTAGAACACGAGGTCAATTTTAACCTCAAGGTCTGCAGTTCAAACCCACCAGCTGCTCCTTGGAAACCCTACACAAGGTCGCTCGCTACCAGTCAGAACCAACTTGAGGGCACTTAACAACATTTCAAAGAGCTTACGTAAGGCACCCTGGTGGCACAGTCGTGAAATACTCAGCTGCTAACCAAAAGGTGGTTCCAACCAACCAGCTGCCCCATAGGAGAAAGAGGCGGCATTCTGCTTCCCGCCTTGGAAAGCTGTGGAGCAATTCTACTATGTCCTACAGAATCACTATGAATTGGAATTGACTCAATGGCAACAGATTTGGTGTTTGGGGTTTACAGGGTGGAGTCCCTTGGTGGCGCAAACAGTTAATGTGCTCGGCTGCTAACCCAAAGGTTGGAGTTTCAAATTCATTCAGAGGTGTCTCAGAAGAAACGGCTGGCAGTCTATTTCTGGAAATTTTGCCATTGAAAACATTGTGAAGCACAGTTCTGCTCCGAAGCACTCAAAAAGCAGGGGTTATTTTGATTTAAAGAAATGGGAATCCCTCTCCGGGTGTTGCACTGCAAGTTACTGCGCTGAGCTGCAAATGTCGGTTTGAACCGCAAGGTCGGTGGTTCAAACTCACCAGCTGCTCCTCCGAAACCCTATACAGGGGCGCTATGAGTCCGAACTGATGGACGGCACTTAACAACAACTCCAGAACTGGCATTTAAAGAAGGGTCAGGCATCAGAGGCACTTAGAAATGCAGTCTTAGGCCCCACCCCAGACTCCCTGGATCTTAATCGGCATTTTATTAAACTCTGTGGGGGATTCTTATGCGCATGCGCGCCTGCCAAACATTTATCTAAAACTGGGAGAACTTCCAAAGGGCAGCAGTTACCAGACCCAGGGCTTAGGTGGAGTCCCAAGAGAACAAAACATTTTCTCCACTGAAGAGATTAAGGAACACCTTAATCTGCCCCTCAGAAACCCTACATAAGGTCTCTATGAGTGGGAACCAACTTGACAGCACTTAACAGAAACAGAGGATCAGCTGAGGCACAGGCAAACCAATTCATGCAACTGGGCTCCCACTTCCTCAAGAGCTAGGGACCACCACAAGCCTTGATCACTTTGCAGGAGATCGTTCACAGCCCATCTGACAGATGCCAACCTTGTGCACCCGCGTTTCAAGCCGAAAGGGAATTTCCTTTGCTTTTATTTCTTTTTAAACCTGTGGCTCAGCTTCCAAAAGTCATTCATTGTCAAGAGGCTGGTGACGTTGTCCAAGTGAAAAGAGTGAGCTGCCCTGGGTCTTACTGAGTCTACACCCCCCACCACACACTCATGCTCTGATTCCACAAGGGGAATGGATTTGGGGTGGATGTGACGCTGAAAAAGTTGTCTGATGCCTCACTATACTCCAAGTTGGAGTCCTCGGACCTGCTCACCCAGGGGGTGGTTAGGACGCACACTCCCAGCTCTCCCAGCCAGGTTTCCTGAATCAGAAGCTGCCTTGGAACTAGACCCCTAGTCAAGGGTGGGCGGTCCTGCGCTACCCAGACAGAGTGGATCCTGGGTCCCGCACACCCCCGAGAATCAATGAATGAAGAGGACCTAAGAATGCATCATTGGACAACCAACGCCCAGCAACTCATCCTGGAGACAGGGAGAGGGGATCTCCCCGGGGACCCCCTTCTCTGTCCTGCACAACTGCCACGGAGATCTGCTTCTCCGCCGACCCCTTCTCTCCCAGAGCACCCCTCCCACACTCCACACTGCTGTCCTGCCACACCCCGCACTCCTGAGCTGCTGGCCTCGGGCCGCGGGCCCCGGGCCCCGACCCCACCCCAAGCACTAAAGGAGAGAAGGGCGACTCACTATGGTGCTCTCTCCAGCCCCCTCTCCACTTCCATCGGCCCGTGCAGCGCTGAGGCCGGTGCTCCCGAGTCACTTCCTGCTTCCCTCCCCGCACACGTGTCCTTCCAGTCGCCAGGCCCCGCCTCTCCCCGCTGCCACCAGCGGAGCACAGAAGAAGGATAGATTCTCTGGTTCACAGGCTGCTGGCGGCTAGGGAAGAGCCCGGGCGGGCAGAATACAGAGCCCAGAGCAAGCCGCCTGCATGCACAGGGATGCCTTTGCAGGTTTTCACGACGTCACAGATATAGCAGGAAAGAGTTGATACTATTTGAATGACGACATCTTTAGCAGTCATTCTGCTAAAGGATTGTTGGCTGGGCAACCGACAGCATCAGTACCTATCTCTAGGGCGGTAACCCTCAGATTATGTTGTTAGAAGTCCCTGTTGTTGTTGTCATGGAGTGAATTAAAACTCACAGCAACCCCATGTGACAGGGTTGTTGTTGTTAAGTGCCGTCGAGTCGGTTCCGACCCATAGCGACCCTGTACAGGGTTTCCGAGGCTGTAAATCTTTACTGGAGCAGAAAGCCTCATCTTTCTCCCACAGAGCAGCTGGTAGTTTTGAACTGCTGACTTTGGGGTTCGCAGCCCGACTCGTAACCACTACACTACCAAAGCTCCTTATGTGACAAGGTAGAACTGCCCTATTGGGTTTTCTAGGATGTAATTCTTTATGGGGAGTCCTAGTGTGGAGACTGTGGGTTAACACGCTGGACTGCAATGTCAGTTTGAACCTCAAGGTCGGTGTTTCATACTCACCAGCTGCTCCTCTGAAACCCTATACAGTGTCGCTACGGGTCAGAACCGACTCGATGGCACTTAACAACAACAACAACAACAACCCTTTGTGGAAGCAGACTGCCAAGGCTTTCTCCCTCAGAGACAATGGGTGAGCACTTACCCACTGCTACACCAGGCCTCCTTCCCTCAAACAATGGGCCATCAGAATCACCCCGAGGGCTTGTTAAAGCAAAATGCTGCCAAACCCAGAGGAGCCGGAAAAGAACTAATGTTTTAAGATACAACATTAGCTGCAGAGACCAGGAGTGGCCACGCCCAGCAGCATGTGGCCAGCTCTCAGCCTGACAGCCAGGGCAACAAGTGTCCATCACCCCTCTCTACTTACACTCACCCACTCACTGGACAGATATCCAATACTCGCGGAGCTTTCGCTCTGTGCCAAACACTGTGCTGGGCCCTGATATCCGGAAGTAAACTGAATGGACAGGCAGGGTTGTGCCTCCCTCATCCTTTCATCCTGTGTTTCTTCTCTTTCACTCAAGTCTGAGAGCCAAGATAAACCTCTGAGCCCCGGGTGGGAATGCCTTCCTTCAGTAAAGTGCAGATAACAAACCCACTGCTACTGGGTTTGTAATATGCTGGCTGGATGGTAGAAGGACCGTGAGAGCAGTTTGAAGATGCTGCAGAAGGAACCCTGGTACTATCATGGGTTATGCGTTGGGCTCCATACGGCAAGGTCAGCAGTTTGAATCCCTTGGCCCCAGTTCGAATCCACCAACTGCTCTGTGGGAGAAAGGGGAGGCTTTCTGCTCCCTTAAAGATTTACAGCCTTGGAAACCCTCCACAGGGTCATTCTAAGTTGGAATGACTCGATGGCAGTGGTGTTTTGTTTTTGTTTTGTTGTTGTTGGTAGAGCAGTGTAGAGGGAGGGCCAGCAAAAAAAAGAAAAAGAAAAGAAAAAGAAAAGAAAGAGGAAGACCCAAAACAAGATGGATTGACACTGTGTCTGCAACAATGGGCTGGAGCATAGGAAGGATTGTGAGGGCAGCGCAGGACTGGGGGCAGTATTTTATTGTGCTGTGCCCTGGGTCACTATGGTCAGAAAGTGATCTGTGGAGGACTACAAACCTCTGAGAATTCCTTTTTGCTCTCAGAATAAAACCCACCCTTCTCCCAGCCAATGAGGACCAAGCTCTGTCCATACCTGGGCCACTGGGAGTCATTCTGCATGTTGCTCTGCCTACCTCAGGGCCTTTGCACATGCTCTTCCCTCTGCCCAGGGCACCGACCTCCCAGATTTTCAGCTGACTGGCTCCTTGTCAGTTGGGTCTCAGCTCAATTATCACCTCTTCAATAAAGGTCTCCTCCAGGAAGTTTACTGTAGACCAGACAGACACACGCTTTTTTTTATTTCCTTAATGGCCAAGGAGCTCTGGTAGCATAGTGCTTATGAACTGGGCTGCAAACCACAAGGTCAGCAGTTCAAAACTACCAGCTGTTCCACGGGAGAAAGATGAGGCTTTCTGCTCCCGTAAATATTTACAGCCTCGAAAACCCTGTACAGGGTCACTCTGAATTGGAACCGACTCCACGGCACACAACCACTAATAGCATTTCTGGTGTGGCACTATAGAAAAATCACTGGACCACAAACTTGGTTTGAACTGCAAGGCTGACAGTTCAAACTCACCAGCTGCTCCTTGGAAACCCTCTACAGAGTTGCTATGAGTCCGAACCGACTCAACAGCACTTAACAACGTCGTGGCATTTCTAGGTAGCTGAAATTCTTCCTAACTTGGTTTTACCCTCAAATCTACGGTCTGTGAGAGCTGTATGGTGTCTCCCTTTTGCACTGTTGCATAGGAGCCCTGGTGGTACCATGGGTTGGGCGTAGAGCTGCAAACTGCAATCTCGTTGGTTCAAACCCACCAGCCACTCCTTGAGAGAAAGATGTGGCAATCTGCTCTCAAAAGTTTTACAGTCTCTGAAGCCCTATGGAGCCATTCTGTCCTATGGGTGCCGTTGTGTTGGAATGGAATGGAGGGTGCAGTTCTTTATCCATTATCCCCAGGGCAGAGCACAGAGTGAATGTCCAATATCCATTAAATGGGTATAGTGATCGGATAGGAAGTGTTCTCTGAGTATACAACAGGGCTTCAAAAATTTGTGGGGAAAGAAATTCCATTATCTTTACATTCAATTTTTCACAGAACATTTTGAAACCCCTCATAATTTATGTATGAAATATATTACTGACACTCACTGCCATTGAGTCAATTCCAACTCACACACAGTGACCCTATAAAACAGAACAGAACTGCCCTATTGGGTTTCTCTGGTATGGCACTGTGGGATAATGCACTGGACTGCAACATCCTTGAACTACAAGGTTGGCGGTTCAAGCTCATCAGTCACTCCTTGGAAACCCTATTCAGGGTCGCTATGGGTCAGAACCAACTCAATGGCACTTAAAAACAACAACAACATAGGGTTTCCCAGGCTGTAAATCCTTACTGGACCAGGCAAGACAGCCTCATCTTCTCCCAAGAAGCGGCTGGTGGGTTTGAACTCCTAACATTGAGAAAAATATTCGTACATTGAATCAGATATTCCAACTACTTCCATTGTAACCTTATACGAGGGTGAGTCAAAAATTATCCACACTCAGATTATATTAAAACACGTATCCACATCCACAACTGATGACAACATTGAGCATGCACTTGAAATGATTCTGTCGAGTAGCCTAGTGGCAGTGGATTATGTAGCAAATTGTTTGCAGATCAGCCATGGTTCTGCCTATGAAATCATCCACGCAAACCTGGGTGCTGAACAACTTGTGCGAGATGGGTACCAAGACAACTCACAGAAGAGCATAAACAGAAGTGTTTTGGCACCTGAAAATAAAATGTGGACCAATATTCAAAGGAAGGTAAAATTTCTTTTAAAAAAATTGTTACTAGTGACGAGGCATAGATTCATCACTATGAGCTTGAGACTAAATGGCAGAAAAAGTTCAAAAGTCAACCATCAGCTGGAAAATCGATGCTAACAGTTTTCTGGGATTCTCAAAGGTCAGTATTGGAACAGTATCAGGAACAAGGCTCAACTATCAACAGTGCTCATTACGGTGAGGTTCTCCCTGAAGAGCTGGAGCCTACATTTTGGATTAAAGAAGTTTAGGCTAGCTATCCAAAGACCTTGTGATCTTGCATGACAATGCACCTCCACATACGTCTGCCCACACTGTGGACACTGCAAACACTTTGTTCTGAGGTGTTACAACATCCTTCCTATAGTCCTCATTTTGCTCCGTGGGATTTTCAACTGTCTGGCCTGCTGAACGCAACACTTCAAGGACAAAGATTCACCTCTGATGAGGAAGTGAAGACAGCAGTGCATTCCTGGCTCCCAGCTCAGCCTAAAACAGTTTTTTTAATAAGGGAATACGAAAGCTTGTTGACAGATGGACAAAGTGTATTGGAAAGCAAGGAGATTGTGTCAACAATTGAGGTATCTGTCTTTTCTAAAAGTTGATTCAAATCAATTCTACAACCCCAGTATGGATCATTTTTGACTCATCCTTGTTGTATAATCTAGAGATTTGCAATGGAGGGTGATTTTGTCGTTCCCCACCTCATAAAAAAACACCAACTATTCAACAAATGTTGTTGTTGTTGTTAAGTGCTGTCGAGTCAATTCCGACCCATAGCGACCCTGTATAGGGTTTCCAAGGAGCAGCTGGTGAGCTTGAGGCACTGATCTTGCAGATAAAACAACTTTGCAGTCTGACGCATTAGCCCACAGCGCCACACCAGGACTCCTAAGAGGGTGCTAATGGCATTTAGTGGATTGAGAACAAGGACATTGCTAAACACCTTACAGTGCACAGGACAGCTACCCACAACCAAGAAGTATCCATTCCAAAATGTTAACGGTCCCAAGGTTGAGAAATCCCATTATCATTCCATTCAGTAAATTTTCCCAGTATAAAATGAGTATAAAAATCATTCTTAAAATTTAATGTGTAATTCAAGAAGCATTTGTCACTAGTTAGGTGAGGAGTCCTGGTGTGGTTGTAGTATAAGCACTGGACTGCTAACTGCAAGGTCGATGGTTCAAACCCACCAGCCGCCCCATGGGAACCCTATATAGGGTCACTGTGAGTCAAAAGTGACTCAATGGCACTTAACGCAAAAATAAAAAAAATTAAAAGTAGGTTAAGCGCTGAGCTGCTAATCAAAAGGTCAGCAGT